ATATATATATATATATATATATATATACATATATATATATACAATAGAAAATCTGTGGTACTAAGCTTTGCAGACATTTTTACATCATGTCTACACATTTATTACTTGACAGATTCACCTCATTTTCCTTCTGCTGTTGTGCTGTGGGACGACACTTTATGCTCCGCCGGGGTTTTACGGGAGGTTTCTTGGTTGTGGGATGGTTCTCTGGAGCTACAGATGGACGGGGCTTTGGTCTTGGGTAAAGGGAAGGAAGGGCGCTCAATCTCTCTTCTCTCTGCTGAGATTCAGCATCTGTACAGAAATAGAATAAATTCAGAATTTGATCGTTAAAGCAGACAGTATTGAAAAACTCATCAACAATAAATGAAAGATGGATGTGAACAAATTTAATTTGTTAAAATGATTCTCTTAATAGTTCTTTCAACCTTCGATCTGACTGTTCACTGCCTTAAGATATTTAATATTAGCTTGTAGATGTTAGTATCTAAATATAAATATAGATGTCAGTGTGCAAAATTTAGAAGTTGAGATACAGTTAGAATCACACCAGTACAGTCAGGCTCAAAATAACCCTGAACGGAAATGTCACGTTCTAAGCACGCAAGCAACACAGAACATTAGGTACCAAACAATCAACAAAACAATAATGTAACAAATATGAAAGGCTCTGTGTAACATTAATGCTGTTGAAAGATTATGGTATAGCCATGCAGTCAGAATCAGTTCATGTGTCTGAGCATTATATAGTATAGTAATATAATAGTAGAATATCATGTAGATTTGGAGTCTAGTCTAGTCAATTTCTGTTCTTTTAAACTAACTCTCAATTCTATATTAATGCTAGATTGCCTATAGTCTATTTTAACACATTAAAACAAAATAAGCACAGCTTGAGCACCATATAGCTTCATTCTGACACTAAACCTGTAAAAAAAAAAAAATTTCCTTCACAAAATTATTCATTAAATAAGTATAAGCTTGTCAAAATAACAGCTGTATCTGACATTCTAATAAATACGGACATTTTAAGATTTTAAAAGAAAGTATTTCCAGTTGTCAGTGTACCGTCAGAAGAAACAAGTAAACACAACTTCTTAAAACCATCAGGTTGTGTTTTGTTATTTTTTTGTAATAAAACACATGTGATTTTATAAGCTCAAAAGGTGTTGAGAAATTGCTGACCTTTAATCTTTTGGTAGTCAAAGTCCATTCTCAAGTGCAAGATGTAAAATGCTACCTCTTCCTATCTGTTCTTAAGTGTTTCTGCCTCATCCTGTTTAAATGCATGTGTGAGTGCGAGAGAAAGAGAGCGGAAAAGGTCACAGGCA